CATAAAAAGAAAGCCAGAATAAGACTAAAAAGAGAAATTTAAAATTATATATAATGGATTAAAAAGGTTTTGAGAAATATGGATTGATTTAAGGACTAATATTTAGAGTTGAAAATTGGTGATTATTAGAACATATATGTTAAACAGAGTAAGAATGTATTTTTTGGAATAATATGTTTATTTTTATGAAAATTATTTTGTAACAGAATGAGAATAAGAATATGAAAGAGGTTTTTAGAAATTCGGATTGCTTTAACAACTAATTGAGTGTGTTAAGATAGTAAGACAATGTTTTGTGTAATAATAGGTGTGTTCTTTTTTTTAGACATGATAATTATTTGAATGAGATTTAACTGCTATCTGAAGAAATAAGAGAGATTTGTGATAAAATCAATGATTTATGAGATTATGAATTAGAATATATCTGGATTAGTATTTTAGAAGGGATACCCGAAGTGATAATACGTTTATCTAAGATTAAATTGAACTATGATAATTGTAAATTAATAAAGTTCAAAACAGGATTAGGATTTATAGATATGTAATGTAGAAATGGATTATTTTAAATAGGTTATATTATTTGAGGAAAATAGAGAGGGAACATTTAATGTATTTACTTGAGCTATTATATGATTTTGTTGTTGGATGATTGATCACCTAACCACCATGGTGTGTTTTGAGCATTCTGTTGTAAAAGTTAAAAAACCAATAAAATTTGTTATAAAAAAAAGATTACCAAACAAAAAGAAATTGAGAACTTAGATAACCCAGAAAACCAAACAACAATTACAACACCGGACATGACTTCTTATTTTCGGCAGCTGAAACTGGAAGAAGAAAAAGACCAGACTGAACTGATGACAAACATTTTAAATCAAACATGGAGATTTGAGTTATTAGTGCAACAATCTAATTATTACAAAGAGGCCAATTCCTTTGAAAAGTTGATAACAGGATGTTCTCCCTTGATTCAAACAACAGATGTAGGAATGAAAGGAGACAAATTTGAGGATTTAAAGGCATTGATATGGAAGCCTGGTTGGCGCAAAAAGAAAGCTAGAGTTAGATTTAAAAATGTGGTTCTCCTTCTCTTCCTTTTTCCTTTTGCTGACTGATAATGGAAGAGCTTAAAACCTCACTTGATGGGCTAAGGAGATTTTTAAACATTGATTGACTTAATATCTAGAACAGGGCTTTTCCACCAGTGGTACGTGTACCACCTGTGGTACATTGGCACCTGGCAGGTGGTATGCGACCATCCTAGAAAAGTGGTAGCGGGGGAGGGGAATGAGCTGAACTGGTGGCAGCACTGTACAAGCCTGAGCAAAGATAGCTGGAGCTGTAGGGCTGTCAGGGCTCAGCGGGAGCGCCAGGATCAGTGCTGCTTTCCAGCTGATTGGCGTTTCTTCGGGACTGTCAGGGCTCAATAGAAGCACTAGGATCAGTGCCAGGCTCCAGCTGGAGCATTCACCTAGAATGTTGCAGCATCTCCAGGCTCTTGTGATTTACATTCAGATGCTTGGCAACTGATTCATATTTATGATGGTCACAGTGTCCCAGGGTCATGTGAAGTGACCAAAGCCTGCTGCAACCACCCAGCAAATGAGAGGGAATAAATACCAAACACCCCCCACCCCACCCCCATTGCCAATCCTCAACAGAAATGCTCATAACAATGAAAACCTCGGACAGGAGGAAGAGCGCCACCAGACGGGCAGGCAGGTGTCTTGCTTGGCTGTGGCTTGGGGGGCACTTTTTTCAGTGCCATTGTAACTTCGAACAGTCACTAAGTGAACTGTTGTAAGTCAAGGACTACCTGTACTTTATTACTTTTTTCCTTTTTTTTAGTCAGCTAGGCAACTGGTGGTACTCAGATGTTGCCATATCCTAAAAGTGGTACAATGGGTGAAAAGGCTGAAAAGCCCTGATCTAGAACTCAGATGTATAAGGGAAATGAAAATTAGCTATTAGATTACAGTTTTGAACTGTAATATGGAAGCTGGTTTGAGACAATAAAAGATAGCCTATTAGTAAATAATGAGATACTAGGATGAGAAATAGAATATATCGATGAAATAAAGTAATAATATCTGTATTTTAGATATGATAATTATTCTGTAATGAAATTAGGAAAATTTGGGTTACCCGAAGTCTAAATATTATGGATATTAAAGGATAAATTGGAATATGGTAATTGAAATTAGGTAAAACTTAAAAACAGGACTTGGATGTGTATAAGTAAAATTATATTGATAACTGTATTGATTGATTGAGCTATAATTAGAAATGTATTAACTCAAATGTGATATAATAATTAAGAGAAACAGAGAGGGAACCTTGAATGATATAACCTGAGATATGTATGAAAGACTGTTATTGGATTATTGACCACCCAATCACCATGCTGTTTCCTAAATATATGAAAGTAAAAATGAAAACTAATAAAACTTGTTTTAAAAAAAAGAATCATCAATTAAGACTGAACATTGGGAGATTTAGAACTGATAAAAGTCCTTCACCTAGCACAATTTGGAATTATGGAACTCCCTGACATTAGCTAACTGCTAGCCATCAAATTATATACTTTTGAAGAAATTTATGGAGGATTGGATTATTAACAGCTATTAATTGATCTGTCAACTCTTTAATCATGATCAGTATGTCTCAAATAGAAGAAGCTTGTATTTAGGTGGTTATTTATTTATTTATTTCACAAAAGCGTGTCTCAGGTTGATATACAATTATTTGAAAAGGAAAATCAATAACTATATAAAGCAATCATCTTTAAAAACTACAAAAATTTTAAAGAACTATAAAAGCATAGGATCAAGGCAAGATGATCTTAGCTGCAACAAAATAGCTGTGCACAGTCTGCCCTGTCCCCTGGGACATTCCAGGATTCCATAGAGAAATCTTAGGTATCTTGAAGAATGTTGTAAAGGATGGAGCAAACCCCACTTTTAGGAGGAGAACATTTCATAAGGTGAGAATCATAGGAGAGAAAGCATACTTCCTGGGGCCTGCCAAGAGTATTTCTCTAGCTTATGGGACCCACATATGCTGCTCCAGTGGGACAGGCAGATATAATCATAGAGATTATAGTCCATCAGATAGCCCAGTACTATACCATGAAAGGCTTGAAAGTCAAAACCAGCATCTTGAACTGGACTTGGAAGCAATCAGGTATTTTGATACAGATAGTGATGTCCAAAACAGTCTACATTTGGTCATTCACACAATTTTTTTTCAGATGAGCACATGTCATCATTCTATTTTTCCTCCATTCAATTTTGCAAGACTTTGCTTTGATCGAGTTGGACATAGCCACACTTTTCAGTCCTGCGGGGGCCTTATAAAAATATCTCTCTACATCGGTTCTTTTATCCATATGGGAATAACTCTAAGAAATCCCTCTGCACCACAAGCAATTCTCTTGTTCTCTTTACAGAATTTCATATTCCCTACTATTCTATCCCATTCTCTGGTGGAGATTACTAAGCTTAATTGTTGTTTCTTTATCTGACTAGAATTCTGACATAGAATCCCAGATTGCTCTAAGAGCCTCTGTTTTATTCATCCATTTAGACAGAAGAATAATACTAATCTTGGCAATCAACATTATTTGTATTACAGGTAGTCCTCAACTTACAACAGTTCATTTAGTGATTGTTCAAAGTTACAATGGCACTGGAAAAAGTGACTTAATGACTGTTTTTCATACTTACAACCATTGCAGCATCCCCATGGTCACATCATCAAAATTTGGATGCTTGGCAATAAACTCATATTTATTATGGTTGCAATGTCTTGGAGGTCATGTGTCAATTGGGAAACCAGATTCACTTAAAAACTGAATTACTAACAACTGCAATGATTTACTTAACAGCTGTGGCAAGAAAGGTCGTAAAATGGGGCAAAACTCACTTAACAAATGTCTCACTTAGCAAATTTTGGGCTCAATTGTGGTCATAAATCAAGAGTTACCTATATTTTATTATTGTTGCTTTGTTAGTTTTGCATTTTATATGTACTTATTTATATCTATAGATTATTAGGTGCATGTGTTTCTGTATGTATCTGGTATGCATATTCATTGTATATTGTGTTTCCTGGCTCTAAGGCCATAACAAAGATTAAGCAAGAACTGAAGGCAGTTGCCTTGCTATCCATGCCTGCAAGCTTTCCGAATATCCCTTTGATTCCACATTACACAGAATAATAGAGTTTAACTTCAATGAAATTTTATTTGGTGGTAATTCAGCAGGACATAATTTATATTCTAATGTAACTCATATATGAATTGAGCCCCTATTTTATCAAATATTCAATGTTCAAGACAACAGCCGGAATAAAGTAATTGATCAGAATGTATATGCCAATACAGCTGTGAATGACATCCATTAACTAATTTACCTTATTAGTGGTAATTAATTAATAAGTTTGAAAGCAAGATGTTCTACCAATTTTGAAAAGCAGGCATGAAAGTCCTGTGCAGATGGCATTCCTAGAAAAAGAACTGTAGAATCTGCCAGATCTGTTTCACTGTGTACCATTTATAAATTATTATAAAAATGTTCTCTCTAATGTTAGAAGTTTATATTTCTTTCATTCTAACAAAAGATCCATGGAGACATCTGGAGGTTATTTTGTTCCTTTAACTACAAAGAATAATGTGTTTTTATAAATAATGTTATAACTAGACAAAGGATAATATTATAGGTACAAAACCAGCCATTTTTTACTTTAATATCGACTAATTTTCAATGGAATTCTCATATATGCAGAATCATACAGTAATCCTTTTGTGTACAAACACAGGAAAGTATTTTAGAAAGTTAAGATGAATGTTCACTATACAATGTGATACTGTTCACTGTACAGATGCCATGCTTTTATCTGTAATCCAACCTGTGACCAATTTTAACTTCCATTCTGTAACTACAGAAAACATTTTAATAGTAACTATACAAATACTTAAAAATGACAATGGCAAATCACACCTGAAGGCCTTGACCATCAATAGTGAGAGAATTTGATCTCTGCATCTTGTTTCGATCAGCTAGTTTGTTTGTTTGCTGACAGCTACTTTTTCTTTTTTCATTGTTGCTTGGCGTTCCTAAAATCGAGGTCAGAAATAATAGATTAATATGTTAAACATGTTACTGTGGTAAAAATGGAAAAATCCCACTCAACAATGATGCATTCAACCATTGTTCCAGTGATAATGAGTTTAGTGATTGCAATTAAATTAAATGAAGTCCACATATATCTATTTATGTATCTAGACATAATAGCAGCTAGATAATAGATAGATGATAATTATTTTTTCACAATAAGAACTAATGCAATGGTGTGAAGCTGGTGATACCATGTAAGGCCATGATCAAGCATCTTAAATAAGATTAATTAGAGAAAGTCTATCCCATTGTCTTGACAACAAAAACACTGAAGATTATAATTGTTTTATAACCAAAAGACATTAAAAGGATTTATTGCAATATAATCTCCTTGGAATATCATATAGCACAATTCCTCCCCCCTCTCTCTATACATATACATATACATACACACACACACACACACACACAGAGAGAGAGAGAGAGAGAGAGAGAGAGAGAGAGACAGAGACAGAGACAGAGAGACAGAGACATGGAGACACACACATATGCATATGCATATGCGTATGCGTATGCGTATGCGTATACGTATACATATACATACATACATACATACATACATATATATATATATATATATATATATATATATATATATATATATATATTAAAAATTACATTAAAAATTGAAGAATAGCGATTCCTGGGTACATACATTTCAGTAAAAAAGGAAGTGATCACCAGGAAATAAAATACCAAGGTTTTAATAAATAAAATCAAGCTTTCGATGGCTAACATCTGCCATCATCGTCAGGATACAAGCCAGCTAGTGAGGAAACCTGCTTATAAGCATAGCCACACCTAAACTCTACGCATGGACCTTGTAACAGGTCCAAGCCAACTAATCCTTACTTCACTTACAGCCTTCAGTGATACTTTCTTTTAGCTCTTACTTACATCCACCTAGCTTTCAATGGCTAGCACCTGCCATCATTGTCAAAATACAAGCTAGCTAGTGAGGAAACCTGCTTATAAGCATAGCCACGCCTAAACTCTACGCATGGACCTTGTAACAGGTCCAAGCCGACTAATCCTTGCTTCACTTACAGCCTTCAGTGATTCTTTCTTATAGCTCTTACTTACATCCACACAACCACCCACTTGTTCCTAAGAGACTGGCTTAATCAAGGAGACCATGGGCAACATCAGGACTCCCTTCAAACGGAGGACCTTGTAAAGCTGATGGAAATATGCCTTAACACCTATTTCACCTTTCAGGGTGTTATATATGAGCAAATCAAAGGAACACCTATGGGGTCGCCGATCTCCAGTGTGGTTGCAGAGATGGTACTCCAACAGCTAGAACACATAGCGATGGCCCAGCATCGACCAAAATTTTGGGCCCGCTATGTGGACGATACGTTTGCGGTCATTAAGAAACGACACAAAACTGACTTTATGGGCGTCCTGAATTCGGTATACCCGGACATCCAATTCACCATGGAGGAGGAAGATCAGGGCAATTTGGCATTTTTAGATGTATTAGTGCAGCGCCAGGTGGATGGATGTCTAGCCACCAGGGTATACCGAAAACCAACATGTACTGACAGGATTCTCCACTTTGGGAGCAATCATCCGATGGCCCATAAAGCCAGTTGTGTCAGGACGCTATTCAAACGTGTGGAGACACATTGCAGCACCGTCAGAGCTAAAAAGGAAGAGAGAAACCACCTCTTCCAAATATGTAGACGTAACGGCTACCCGGTAAAACTTATTAACCAGTTCAGGAAACCACCTGGACTCCGGAGTAACCCTGCATCTCAAGAATCCATGCCTCAAGCCACCACACGCATTGCCCTCCCCTATATCCATAATGTATCAGAAGCCACAGCTAGGATCCTGGCACCATATAAAATACAGGTGGCCCATAGACCCAACCAAACACTGCGGGCGGCAATAATGCGCCCTAAGGACCCGCTCCCCAGCATCGAAAGATCGGCAGCCGTCTATAGGATTGACTGTATGGACTGCCAATGCAATTATATTGGGGAGACTGCTAAACGCATTAAGACCAGGGTCCATGAGCACGAATTGGCAGTGAGAAGGAGGGATTGTCACTCCCAAATATGGGCCCACACGGTGGATCTGGGCCACAGGTTTAATTTTAGTGGCGTCAGTGTATTGGCAAATGATAGTACCAAAGGAGGCCGCCTTCTTAGAGAGGCATATATATACACACACACACACACACACAAACACACACACACAGATGTAGGTCTTTGGTTATTCGGGTTTTCTCCCACGTCAAATTGGAAGTGTCTTGGCGACGTTTCGACGAAGTCTCATTAGTCATCTTCAGGCTGGTGTTTTCGGCTTCGTGCTTCTAGGAGCAATGTGTGATCGTAGCTGTTTCTTCCTTTTAACTGCCAGTGGGGGTATCAACTGATTAGATGAGAGCTTGGCTGTGTTCTGATTGGATGGAGATGTGTTCTGATTGGTTAGGAGCTTGGCTGTGCTCTGATTGGATGGGGAGTTGGCTGTGCTCTGATTGGATGGGGGTTGGCTGTGCTCTGATTGGTTGGGGGAGTGTTCTCTTTGGGTGGGGGCTTTGTTGTGCTCAGGTTAGTCTGAGTTGTATGGGCATGTGAGATGGTGAGCTGCATTGATATTCTTTGGCTTCGTGTTTGTGGTTGTGCCTCATCTTCACGGTGGGTGTCAGTTTGCTTCATGTAGGGATTGGAGGGGTTTAAAGTGGCTAATGATGCAGCTGTGGTTTGGCTTCTGGTTTGTGGTGGTGCCTCCTCATCAGTGTGGCTTTGGGTTTGCTTTTTGCGTGGACGTGTGGTGGTGACATCCTGTGTGGCTTTTGTGAGTGTGGGTCTGCTTTCATTCTTTGTGTTAGGGACTCATTTGTCAATAAGGGTGGGTTTCCAAATAGCTGGTAGGCGGGAGGTATCATCTCGTTTGTTCATGCTGTGTGAGCGTTTTTCTATCTCGATGGCTTCTCTGATTATTCTGTTATTAAAGTGTTCAGTTTTGGCGATAGTTCTGGTCTTTTTAAAGTCAATTTTATGTCCTGTGATTTTAAGATGTTGGACCAGGGAAGATGTTGGTTCCTCTTTTTTGACTGAGTTCTTATGTTCTTCAATACGTGCACTTATTTTTCTGTTGGTTTGTCCGATTATGTGGTGGGACAAGTGGTGCATGGGATTTCGTATACTCCTTGATTTTCTAATTCAATTTTGGCTTTGGGTTTGCTTTTTGCATGGATGTGTGCCACACTGATGATGAGGCATGACCACAAACCAGAAGCCAGACCACAGCTGCATCATTAGCCACTTTAAACCCCTCCAATCCATACATGAAGCAAATTGACACCCACCATGAAGATGAGGCACAATCACGAACGTGAAGCCAAAAAATAGCAAGGAGCCCACCATCTTAAACCCCCCTGCAACTCAGACTAACCGGAGCACAACAAATCCCCCACCGAAACAGAACACTCCCCCAGCCAATCAGAGCACAGCCAACCCCCCAGCCAATCAGAGCACAGCCAAGCCCCTAACCAATCAGAATACACCTCCACCCAATCAGAACAAAGCCAAGCTCCCACCCAATCAGTTCATACCCCCACTGGCAGTTAAAAGGAAGAAACAGCTAAGACCACACATTGCTTCTCAAAGCACGAAGCTGAAAACACCAGCCTGAAGATGACAAATGGGACTTCGTTGAAACGTCGCCAAGACATTTCCAATTTTATGTGGGAGAAAACCCGAATAACCAAGACCTACATACAAACACCCGCGAAAACCTCAGAAAACAAATATCGAACCTCTACGGGGAGGAAATCCACCATCTGACCAGGACCTATGAAAAATATGAAGTCCAAAGAGCTTCCATTTTATGCGACCTCACATTCCTACGCAACTGCCGAGATCAAAATTTAATTCTGACATGTTTCCAACTGAAATTCCACTCCAACTCTGCAGCCACCAAACACATCCTGAAAAGAACAGAATTGCCCTTATCAGAAATGAACTTCACACAAAAAAATTCCTCCTAGACAGAATTAACAAAGATCTCCTCACACTTCACCTCAAACTCAACAACAAGATCCACCCCGCACTTTGGACAAATCCAAACAACTCACCGTCTGGAGAGCCGAATCATAGACCAACTTCAAGACAGACACACACACCAACAAACTCCGAAGACTACAAGAATGCCAGAAACAAACCCCTCCTCCCTCACAGCCAAACATGAAACAAACAGTGCATAACATCTCAGATAGGACCCTCACCAAAGCCGAAACCAATGTCCTTTCCAAAGGATTCAACTTTTCAGTCGTTCCCAAACACATCCCCACTGAACCCATTATATGTGGAGTTGAAACCAGCCTGACCAAAATCAACCCCGACGACGCTAACAGAATCAGACTCAAAATCATCAACATCCTCTGCACCAGCAAGCCACCCAAAAGCAACTTACCCAAAGAGGAACAGACAGCACTACATAACCTAAAAGAAGACACCAGCATAATAATCCTACCAGCAGACAAGGGCAACGCCACAGTGGTTATGAACACATCTGACTACCAAACCAAATTAACCAACCTACTCCAAGACTCCACATACAAACCCCTAAACACAGATCCCACCACCTACCTGGAAAAAACCACTAGATCCAAAATAAAAACCTCCCCTATTAGCAAAGAGATCCAGCAAAAAATCATTCCCAGAGAGAAATCATCCAGATGCCCAAATTCTATGGTCTCCCCAAGATACACAAAGAAGGAACCCCACTCAGACCCCTAGTCAGCTCCATAGGCTCACCTCTACAAAACCTAGCCAAATTTCTCGCCAAACAACTACAGCCCTATGCAGAACCATCACCTCACATGTAAAAAATTCATCCCAGTTTATAGAGATCATAAAGAAACAAAACTTACAGCCCAGCGACCTACTCGTGAGCTTTGATATCATATCCCTCTTCACCCAAG